AACATGTTCAAAATATGTGGATTGAGCAATGTTTGTCTGACATATTTGATTGCTTCATTTAGTTTGCAATATCGAAGACTTCTTGCCGATATAAAATATTATTTGAGCCGTATCACGGAAAGGTTTATATAGTAGAGTTTGTGAGCCTACGGTGCCGTGCTCTTAGTGACTGTTAATTTCATAAACTTTGCTTTTTGAATTAAATGTCAATTTAATGTCTTACAGTATTGTTATGTTATCGTGCGATCCGTGTGTTTTTAGTACAAAAGTTTAGTTGTCCCGTAGCAATGCACGGGCATGCTACCTAGTTAATATAAAATCATGTAGGTGTACAAAAATTATGAAACAAATTTTATTAGGTTCATAAAATTGTGCTCTATGTATTGGTGTATTTAGTTTATATATATACATGTTGATACCAGAAGCTATTAAATCATTTGAGAATGCTTCATATTATTAAATTAATCATTGTAGAAATTTTTGTAGTAAATTGGTGCTAGCTTTGGTCCTGAAATTTTTATAGTAGCTTCATGATATTATTACGTGCTCACTGTATGTTTTGTAGCCTTAGGGTAGACTAAGCATTAGGGTAGTTAAATGCTCTTTATTTCAATATACATTAAATCACTAGAAGAAATAAAGATATATCCTTAATTTGCCAAGATAAGGGTTTGTTGGTTGAATCCAACATACTGCTTGATGAAGATGATAGTTAGCTTAGTATCTTAGTTATTAGAGCTAGCTTAGTAGCTTAGTATATGTATTCTTATTTTAAAAGTTGTTGTTAACTAAATGCTAAGTGTTGTATCATCATCGCATGCATGTAGAGAACGAGTTGGTGAAGATAGTGACCACCAACGATCGCGAGTTCGAGGAGATCATCGAGGAGTACGAGGAGGAGATCCTCATGAGGGGGGAAGTCCTGGAGCCACCGGCGACTGACTTGGCTAACACCGCGCCTGTCCAAGGCAAGCCCCGGTGCATAACCCTTATTTTTTATAATCACTGAATATATATATGTGATGTGCATTTACGTTATATGAATTTTTATGAAAACCACATGCATAGATATATCTGTCCTATGAGTCATACTAGTACAGGTTCGAGTAGCTGCTATGCTTAGGTTTTCAGTAGCGTGAGTAACCTGCCGTTACTCACAATAGGTGATCATTATAATTACTCTCCTAATAAAAATAGTGAAAGAAAAATAGAGACCGGGCAGGGATATGGTGTGGGTATTGGTGGGTGTGACAAGTTGTGTCCCGCGGCCATGTGACTTAGTTTGGTTACACTATTTTCTCTATCCGTGTCGATTAAAGACCGTCCATTGCTGTGGTTGTAGTTAGGTCACAGACTTATTATTCTGAGCACATATTTGCTTATGGGAGCGGTATGGCTCATTACGCTCTTGTCATGCGTTTCGGCTCTTTTCTAACCGACTGATTGGAGGCAGAGAAAGGTGGAGGTCTAAGCACCATACTGAGACCGGGTCTCAAGTGTGGGGGCTTGGAGCCCAAGTTTGTATAGGGATCTGGACCCCTTGACAGGAGTGGAATGGATTGATCTTGTTTGTGCCTAGGGTATAAATGGGGAGTGTGTTTCGGGGTACCCAACTGGCATACATTGGTTCGCAAATCGTCATTTCCATGAGACGGTATGACTTGGCTATGGTCTAGCATCGTAGTAAGAACTGAAAGATAAAAGATGGAAAAATGATTTTGATTGCTCAACCCTTACTTGAAATTAGAACAGGTGCTTACTTAGAATGGTTAGCTAATGAAGTAATCATGACTGTTAATAAAACTTGATCTTAAGGACGTACTCCTAGTAATGCTTTTCGCAATAAAAAAGAAAACAACAAATCCATATTGCCTATCATACTCCTTGAAGTCAGGAAACTATTCCCACTAGTCGGGTAAGTCTTGCGAGTACATTGTGTACTCAGGATTTATTTTACCCTTGTTGCAGGTGCATCTTGAGGAGTAGCTCCTGTGTGGAGGATTCTTCTGATGGGCATAGACGGATCCTTATATCATTTCCGCTAGATTTTTATTTTTATTTCGCTGTTTCATTATCGCACTCTGAACTCTGGTATTGTAATAAATAATTTTCATGAACTCTTGTTGTATGAAATGGACTAAGTATTGTAAACACGTACTTATTATCTGATTCTAGAGGTAAAATATGGATTGATTCGAGTTCTCCCGTGGGGTGTGCTCGACGGAACTGTCCGGTGTAGCTAACTTTGAGGGTGCTTAGTGTCTAGTGGAAGATGAGCGCCTCTGAAAGCGTATTATTTCGGGCGGTTCTACCACAGGTGTGTACCAACCTAGCTCATATAGATCACTTAATGACAAAGGTTAGTACACTAGGTTTCATCAATTAGGCAAAACCAAACTAGGGCTTTCAACTGCGAAGTCTTTATCTGCCCCTCATCATGAGCCAATAGTCTTCAAGCTAGTGGTTGGGGCTAGTCTCACCGTCGTACCTACCGATGTGGCTCATTGGTCGTAAGCGCTTGGGGTAGTAAGCCACCAATATCCTAGTCCCGAATGCTTGTGGACCGAAGTGGTCTTGGCTCAGGCTTCCTTTTTCTTTGGTCAGGGTGAAGGAGCAGTGACTTGGCTCGAGCCCGTTGCCTTGCCTCGATGGTGTCCCGCACATACCGGTTCTCTCCGATCTGATTGCGGACGGGCGATCATCATTGGTCGAGGTTGCCTCGCCGCTCACGCTAGGGCTTGGCGCCTCTCACCCTAAGTCAGTCGGAGTTGCTGGTAGAGCTCACGCAGCTGCTGTCGCTGTGTGGACCATGGGAGTCAGAGCCCTCGCCCCTCGGTAGCGATGCCTATCGAGACAGCCTTTAGTTGGCGTTGTTACGACATTGAGATAGCGAACTCTTCTACCTGCTGCTCGAAGGCGATGTCGATGAGACGCCTTGCCTCCCATAGCTTCTAGTTGGTGGTCGGGTCTGGCGTATCCAGGATGTCATCCAGGCGGCATGCGGTGACTGCCATATTGTGCGCTACATGAGGGAAACAGGGCACGCAAGGAGCCCCGCATCATTGGCGATGTCACACTGGGCGCTACGCGTGCAGATGTGCGAGCTGCTCGCTTACCGGCACTCCATCTCCTGCTTTAGCTCAAGCTCGATGCGCTCGACCTGCTTGTCCTTGAGTCGCTCTGCCTTCTCACTAAGGCAGGTGGCCTACCAGGTTGGAGTTAGGTCCAAGGACGTGACCTCGGTGTCCTCGGCGGGAGGAGGTTCCCCATGGAGGAAGAAACATTCATGCCCCGGTGGAATCTCTCTACCTCATCGGAGTCATACCTTGAGGGCGTGTTTGTTTGCCTGGACTAGGGTGGCCCGTGCATACCAGCCCAGCCTGACTAGGTGGAGGCAGCCTCAAGTGATGCAACTGGGCCAGTTTGTTTGCTTGGCCCAAGCAGGAGCTGGCTCGGGGTGGGATAGTGTTTGTTTGCCTGGACAAAAGTGTATGAGTACCCTGCATCATAAAACTGGTAGCCTTACCCCCACTGCCCCACCCCACACCTTCTTCTTCCTGCTCCCGCTCCTCTCTTCCTCTCATTGTGGTCGCAGGGAGGCAGGCTGTCGCGCGGAGGTGGAGGGGGCTATCACACCGGAGAGGCTCGCGGTGGGGTTGCTTGTGGCGGTGGCGGGGATTGCTCCGGGACTGTTTTGTAGTGGCGGGGAGGCGGGCTGCCACGCCGGGGCTGGGCGACGGCTCCGGTACGAGCTCGCCGTGCCGGCCACGGTGAGAGGCAACGGGGCCTAGATCCGCGCACCCCCGCCGATCCAGATTCATGGCCCGCCCAACGCGCTCCTCCTCGTCGTCGTCACGGTGGCCGCGTTGCTTGCCGCGGTGGTCCCTGGTGTCCGCGTGGTGCCGTGGTCACGGACTCGCCGAGACCCTCGCCGCCCCAGCCCGCCGTGTGCAGTGCTCTACTCCCTGTCCGTCATGGAGGATGTCGTGGGTACTAGGTAGAGAGAAGGGAGGTGACGCGAACCTCCACTGCGGCCAGCCAACACGCCCACACGAGCCTGGCTCCAGAGGAACGATTTTTTTTTTCATTTCCCGAGGCCAGGCCCAAGGGTGCTTTGATGGCCGTGCGGGCCGAGCTACAAACCCCATCTAGGCAAACAAACACTCTAGGTTGCACCCCTAGGGCGCAATGGCCTAGTTGGTCCAGGCAAACAAACGCACCGAGTCACCTCTCGAGACTATCTCGAAGAAGATATGCAGTGGCTTTGGGAAGGATGGTGTCACATGACGCCTCCCTTCTCATGAGTTCACTGACTCCCTGGTAGAAGCTGGAGCAGGTGCTATACCAAACGAGCCTTTTGTATATAAAATAAACTAGACTAGATGCATTTTACTTGAGAAAGTAATAAGGGCCTGTTTAGTTGCCAAAAACTTTTACGCAGTACCCATCACATCAAATCTTGCGGCACATGCATGGAGTACTAAATGTAGACGAAAAAAAAACTAATTGCACAGTTGGACAAGAAATCGCGAGACGAAACTTTCAAATCTAATTAGTCCATAATTAGACACTAATTACCAAATACAAACGAAAATACTACAATAGCAAAAATCTAAAAATTTTTGGATATAAACGCACCCTAAAAGCTTCCTTTATAGGAGCCCACAAAAAGGAAAAAGCTGCGCAGAGAAAACGAAACGGGAAGGAAGCCGTGTACAGTGCACACTACGTGATGTGTGTGCATCGGAGGGGCATTGACTCGCTGGACTTCTTTCCCCCCAAAGCCGCGTGGCCGCCGATAGCCACCAGACGGAGCTGCTCTCCCAGAAAACCAACCAACCAACCCCGACTCCCGAGACCCCAGTGAGAAACTAAAAAAGCCCAAATGGCGGGGGGAGGTCGTCGTCTCCCCTCCCAGCGATCCCCTCCTTCCGCGACGCCATCTCCGCCACTTCATGATCACTAGGGTTTCGCTCTTCTACCCATAAGCCCTCGTCCCGATGCGCTGGTGGAAGCGCTCCTCCTCCCCTTCCCGCTCCGCCTCCTCATCCTCAGCATCCACGCCCGCTTCCCCCGCCCGCGCCGCCACCCCCCGTCTCATCGTCGGTTGGGGCAGCGGCGCTAGCTCCCGCCGCGATGGCAGCGGGGGCAGCAGCGAACCGCAGCCGCGGCTGATCAGAGCGCGGCGGGTGCGCTATGTCGTCGATGACCTCGCGGTCGGGGTCTCCGCGCTCGGCGTGGACTCTCCGGCGAGGAGGGACGCGGCGGCGGGGTTTGCGCTTGCGACCGTGAGCTCCACACCGATCTCGAGGTCTCCGAGTAACATGGAGGTGGCGCCGGTGAGATCCTCGTCGACCCCCGTGCTGCTGCCGCGTCCGCTGCCCCTTCCAGGCGAGGGGGAATCGCCGTGCCGCGGGCCCTGGAGGCCGCTTCCGTCACCGGCGCCAAAGATGCTCGACGGGGAGTGGAACGGGCCTGCAGCGGACGCTCCCGGGGTTTTAGAGACTGGGAGCGAAAGGATGACGCCGTTACTCGCACGGAGGTGATTGATTCGTACTATACTTGTTAATGTTATGTTTTATTGCCGTTATTATTCAAGTAGATTATATTGTCTGCAAGGATGTCACCCTCACAGCTTGAGGATTGCAGAGTCGGGTTATGATTACTATTTACCAGCAATATTCACATTTCAAAAAGGATAACACCGTTCACTTGTATTGTGTCATCATTGAGGTGTTAAACACTTAGGAGGGTAGAGGGCAACAGTTTGTGGTGCCTATGGTTCAGAGATGTATCCTTTGCTGCAGAGTATGTTGATTTTGCTGCAGAGTATGGTGATTTTGAAGAGATGGATACCACGGTTCAGGGATTGGAGCTTTCAGATATACATATACACGAGTTGAATTGTGATTTAGTAACTTGAGTTAGTTGTAGGGTGTTACTAGCTAAGGGTTTTATTGGTAGATCATGACATCAGGTCATATTAGGATGGCGCGTCATAAAATTTTATTTGTTATGTATATTGAGTTGTCATGATTTTTGCACGTGATGCTTTCATTATTGATTTGTACATATAATATTCCTTAAAATTTCCACATGATGATTTTTTAACTCTTAGTGATTAGTGAATTGATTAGATATTTACATGATGAAAATAAGTTAGCTAGGGTGTGGTGTTTTAATAAATAAGTGGCCTAGTTTGTTTCAGTGCTGTACTATAATTTCACTTGGTTGAATTGGACTGCTATGAAGCTTCTAAGCTGAACCAAAAATACCTAACCTGTTTAAGCTACTGTTGAAATAATCTAGTTAAGTATTGCCGTTAAAAACTGTACAAGAAACAGTGAAGATATCTATCACTTAATGTTTTTTCTTGAATATATGAGCTCTGCATTACTCATTGCTCTGACTATTTTCATTTTTGGAATATGTTTTGTGTTCCCTTGAAGCACATCAATTCTGATTGGTGATCATGATGTTCATTTGTGATATGCCTATTATACCAGAGTGGTGGCCCAAACTCTACCAAAGGCTCATGAGCACAACGACTTTCGGTTAAATGGGACTACCTGTTGTCAGCGGAGAAAGGCTTTTAAAGAGAAGTTTCAGGATAAGAACTGTGCTGAAACTTTGAACTTCAGATTGAACATTCCTGCTAAAAGTGCTCCAAGCAGTGGGTTTTCAAGCCCTGTACAAAGTCCTCGAAGACTGAGTAACGTAGACTTCTCATCTGCTGCAATCGCTATCCAAGATACCAATGTATGGTCAGCACGGTCTCTCTGGTCTTCTGATGCAATGGGATCTTCACCTCCTTTTGATTCACCTGACAAGTTTGCGGGTGGTCAGGAGCGTTCTCCTCTCTCTAGTCCACTGAGAAGTCCGGTTTTAAGATCAAGAAACCCAAGTGCACCTCCATCACCAATGCATCCGAAGTTGTTCCCGGAGAACCATGTTTCTCGTCCTGATGGCAATGGAAGTGCCAGTTTTCACCCATTACCGCTTCCTCCTGCTTCTGTAAGCCCAAAGCAGACAAATGTTAGCCACCAGTTAGTTCCAAAAGCTGAGATGCCTTCAGTGGCTGGTCAATGGCAGAAAGGAAAACTCTTAGGTAGTGGCACATTTGGATGCGTGTATGAGGCCACCAATAGGTACATCAACACATCTTTTTAGCATCATGATTATTGCTTCATTTTAGATTCTGAATTTTATTCTCATTCACGTACATAAAGGCACACTGGAGCTCTTTGTGCCATGAAAGAGGTCAATATAATTCCAGACGATGCTAAATCAGCCGAGTCTCTGAAGCAATTGGAACAGGTTTGGTTTTATTTCATTGCTGTTTATTCTGCAGTAATGGTATCACTACAATTGATCTATATGATTGTTCCCCACCAAAATTTTCTTTCAGATCTTCATGGTTAAGTAACATTTTCCGTATGCTGTTTTTGATTTGCATTGTTCTTACATACTATATGCTTCTCAAGTGCAGATCAACTTCAGAACTGACTGAACAATGTTAAATTCATTGTGGATCAGTACTATCTTCTTCTGCATAAAGATTATGCAAGTATGCACCTACTTTTATTGATTTGTTCTCACATTTCTTTCAGGAAATTAAGTTTCTTAGTCAATTTAAGCATGAAAATATTGTGCAGTACTATGGCAGTGAAACTGTAAGTTCTCCTTTGTCACATTAAGTACCTTTAGTATTTACGTGCCAGTTTCCAGTGCCTTGTAATGATTGTTTATTCAACTCTTGCAGATCGAAGATAGATTCTACATATACCTGGAGTATGTTCATCCTGGTTCAATCCATAAGTATGTTCATCAACATTGCGGATCACTGACAGAATCAGTCATTCGTAACTTCACACGTCATATTCTCAAGGGTCTTGCTTTCTTACATAGCCAAAAGATTATGCATAGGTAACTATTTCCTTGTTTTGAAAATTCTAAACCAATAATATCTTAACTTACCTATTATTTAAATTTAAATTTTAAACTATAAAATAATAGCCCGTTACATTATTTTATTTCCATGTAGGTAGTACACCATCCTGTCTTCTTTTGGACTATGCTTTTGCTGATTTTTTTTTCCATTTTCCAAGTTCTTGCATTATGCTGAAAAATGTACAGGTGTATGTAAATCAATGTTTTCAAGTCGTCCGATTAATCGCGATTAATCGTCCTAGTCGGTCCCATGGCGACTAGGTTCGACTGGACGACTTGAAAACATTGATGTAAATATAGTTCTGCTCTTGCAGGGATATCAAAGGGGCAAATTTGTTGGTTGATATTCATGGTGTAGTGAAATTGGCCGACTTCGGAATGGCAAAGCATGTGAGTCCAAAATTTGCCTATAGTTTTCTGCTATTCAATATCACACACAATTAACCAGTAGTCAGTACTCCTGGATTTGGCTTGTCAACCACAGGCCATTAAGCTTATCACTACTGTATTCAAGATAACAATACTACTCCCTCCGTCCCAAAAAGAATGTAAATCTCGCTTCACGAGGAGTCAAAGAATCTTAAGTTTGACTAAGTTGTAGAAAATATTATCTACATTTAGATCTCCAATTAGATGTATAATACTTGTTACGCATCAAAACATCAATACTTTTTTATGTATTTGGTCAAAATTAAGAATCTTTGACTCCTCAGGAAATGAGATTTACATTCTTTTTGGGACGGAGGGAGTATGTACTATATGCTGTTGAGCATGAATATTTGATGTATGATTTAGGTGCTTAGGTTTGGGGTCATGTTTCTTGAATCAAATTCGATATGTTTGAACATGATCAAACTATAGTGATCAATTTGTTGAATTTGAGATCCTACCTGATAACACCAAAGATACTTTATACAAAAAGTCTACCATGTATTTATACATTTGTACATAGATGCTTCTACATTAAAAACTGTGATCTATAGTATGAAACTATGAATGGTCTATAGTTCAACCCAACAATTCTACCTAATTCATATAATTGTACGTGGATGCCTCTATTTTAAAAAACTGTAACCGAATGCTGCAGATCAATATAGCATTCATTTTTGTCTTGTTGACATATATTGTTGGTAATCCTCATCGTTTCCTTTGTAGTTGATCTTTATTGCACATTTTCTTCCATTTTCAGTTGAGTACTGCAGCTCCTAATCTTTCATTGAAGGGCACACCATACTGGATGGCTCCTGAGGTGCGAACTGGCTATTCTTCATGTTAATTTCACCATTTTCTTCTCTTCTGACTGTGATGAGGCTGATTATCCCAATGTGATGTAAATGCCTAATCACTTTTGTATGCATTATTCAGAATATGAAGTGTTGCCCAAAAAAGAACATGTTAATCTAGCAGTGGACAAGGACCTCCTTTTTTTAGAGACTCCAATGCCTTGTTGCCCCAAAAAAGAACTTGTTAATCTTGTAGTGGACAAGGACCTCCTTTTAGAGAGTCCAATGCCTTTTCCTCAACCAATGCAGGAGCTGCACTCATTTCATTAAAAACAAATAGTAACAACTAACAAAATGTACAAAAACATGCAGACGCTACACAACCAAAACCAACCCATCATCTAGAACATTGGGTACAAAGATGACATGCTAAAATAAAGAAGACAACCATAAGGCATGGAGACGGGCCCAGAAAAGGCCCCTGAGGCCATGAGCCCCAGCTGTGCATCATAGGGCTGCATCCCCTTCTACTGTCTGCTGTGAATTGGAATAAAGAAAATCCAAAGGCATATTGTGCCTTCTTTTGTTATATGCTTTAAGTTCAATGCATTGTGGTTCCAGATGAGGGAAACAAAATTATTCAAAACTTACTCTTAGCATTCTAGAATCCAGTTCATCCATATATCAGTGAAAGACTGAAATGCAGTTTTGGGCCATGCTCCTGCTCCTCCATCTTGCAAGGTTGGGGCCAGGATAAACCTTCATGCTTCAGATTCTTCTGAGCTAGTTTGAACTGGAGCCGTTCACCCTCCTTTTTCTCGAATCATGCAGGGGAGCTGCGTGTCATTTCATTAAGATAGAGAAAAAAAGGCACAATAGGCCGACAAGAACAGAGGTCCAACCCAAGTACAAAAACCCACTCACACCCCCAAAACTCCCTAGACCAGATAGCCATTCACCCTCCTGGTAGTTAAGTGTCAGATGTAATCAGTACTAGTACTATCATGAATTGTAAGCAGTTAGTTGTAGCTGCCATCCGCTTGCAGCTCCAAGTTTATGGCTTGATTATCTCATTTTCTACTGGAGGAATAGGCTAGGAATCATTCCAGCTTCATCAAACTTATACAAAATTAGCTAACCATTCCAACTGCTGCCAGCTGTTGACCCGACTGAAGAGCCCCCCCCCCCCCACCCCCCCCCCCCCCCTTTTTTTGTATGTCAAAGTCTGATTAATGGAATTGTTCGAGTTGACTTTGATTGCTTAGCTATTAACCATGGAAAACATCTTATATCCCTGGAGGAGTTTCTCGTCCTCTGCCTCCTCTTGATTACATGGGGGGCCGCAGCAGCTCTGACTTTGACATAGCAGCCAGCAGAAGCGCTCAAATGCACTGCTTCTGGCCCTACAGATGTTACAATCATTTTTTTGACTCTTTAGACATAAGACATCTGCATAATTAAATGTGATTACACAGATGTTCTTGATGCTTAAACGAGATGGTTGTATTTAATGGAACTTGTATCTTAGTGCTATTAATTTTCTTTGAGCCAAAGAACCAATTTCCTCTCAAAATCACCATTCATTGTTGCCAAGGTAGGATATATTTATGTGATGATATGCGGAGCTTGACATCTGTTTTCCTGGGTTCCACATTAGATACTGTGATGCCTTCTTGTAATATTAGAGGTCTTAGCATGGCGCAGTCAGCCAGTCACACTAGCACATTTTTATGTTGCAGGTTGTTCGGGCTACACTTGATAAAAGTGCAGGTTATGATCTTGCTGTTGATATTTGGAGCCTTGGTTGCACAATCATTGAGATGTTTACAGGAAAGCCACCTTGGAGTGGTCTTGAAGGGGTAAGTTGTTTGTGGAGGCTTCCCTGTGATGTGGGTTAGATTTATGTAATCAGAGTTGCACATCTTTCTTTGCCTTAGGTTCATTTGACAAAAGATGATAACATGTCTTACATAGCACCTTGGCCTAATCAAGTTGTGAATAAGAAACAAATAATCTCATCTTGATTTGTGCTTGCGTGATCACCTGTCTAATATAGTCATATGAGATAAGTAATGTTTCCATTTGGTGTGGTATGTGATCAGTGGAGTGAAAAAAAATTGTTGTCTTTGGATACTTAATTTTTTTCAGCTGAGGGGATGTGTGTTGGTGTGGGGATTTGTGCATATGCGGCTGTCCTACTTTTTTTATTTTTTTCTTTGGATTCTAACCATGAACTATATTTTGTGGTGCTACAGCCTGCTGCAATGTTTAAGGTGCTGCGCACGGACCCACCAATTCCGGATAATCTGTCCCCTGAAGGGAAGGATTTTTTGAGATGCTGCTTCAAGAGAAACCCTACTGAGCGACCAACAGCAAGCAAGTTGCTTGAACACCCATTTATCCAAACTTCAAACCACTACAGCCCGCATAGTGCTCCACATTCATTTTCGGGAATTAAATCTCCAGTAAGCTTTCTCTCTTCCTCCTCCTCACATGGCAAGCGATATCCAAAGTTTCAACTTAAAGCTTTATGCATGTGTATAATTAGCTTGTTGGTGTCAGGATACTGTGCATAGCGGTGCAAGAGATAAAGTGCCCTGGAAAAGTGATTCATGTATGAGAGGGAGACATGCAAATAGGTGAGTACATCTGTTGCCTTGCTCTGTTCAAGTTCTTTTTGTTGCTGATCTGTAAATCTGGTGATGAAAGGTTCACGTTATTTGAGACTTTTAAGTATTAACCCCTGCTATTCTTTATTCTGATATTGAAACAAGCAGTGCTCGGTCGTCAGGGTCATTGGCTTATCGGTTGATGACACCCCTACCCAACTTGGGAACCAATAGCTTGTCACCTCCACCTTTGAGTTCGGCCTCCAGTTCTGGCTCTGCAGCACATATACCGAACAGTATGCATTTTTCAGTCGCATACCATCAGCCTAGTCCTTTGCCAAAGCCTAATGGGGAGGAAGCAATAAATTTGATTTCGCATTGAATAACAGCATGCCACCTATCACAACATCTGGGCCAAAAGCCACATATAAACAGTGCGAGTATCCATCCCTAACATCTAACCCTTGTACTGCCAGTCATAGCTGACAATTTTCTGGGTCTTGTAAAAATATTTTCCATTTAAAGAGATCACCACGGTGTGATCACAGGGAAATGCTGCTAAATGAGGGAGCCTTGTGAATTCTGTTGTACTGTTTGATTTCTGGGGAAATGATTGCATTTCCCATGTAACATTTATTAGGGTGTAGCTGTAGGTAAAACTAATGGTCCTGATTGTGCCGACAAATAGGACATTAGGGTTGTAGTTGTGGCGTGTTGTTGTTGATGTTGTGTAATGATCATACTTGATGTAATCATTATTGATTTTTTTTGGGGCCAAGTAATAATGCACATCAATAGGCAATAGGGGATTGAGATCGCAGATCCATGTATGATTTAAACTTCCTCGTGGCAGACTAACAGTTTCATTGTCAGAGAATGGTTTCATTCGTGCGTGTTTTCATTTTTTGTAGGGGAGTTTATTTTTTACAGTTAGTGAAAGAATTTGTTTTATGCACATAATCCCCGGGGATATAATCTTGACCATCCTCTGTTGTCTGCACCACGTAACAGACGTTGAAACATTTTTGTTCATCGAACATAACAGCTCATCGTGCTGGTACCATTGATTTTATATCGTCTATCTATATCTGTATATCTTATAATAACAAATCCCACTCAATTCCAATACGGAGTCATCTATGATTCTACTCCATCTACTAAATGGTAAATGCTACATCATTCTGTACTAGTTTCAATCTCAATATGCAAGTTATTCATGGCATTTTCCACTAAACGCCATATTCCATTTCGCTTTCAATCTCTTAACATGCAACAACTTTATTTTAAGGAAGTCCCGCTACAGCTTCAACGTGTGGAGTATCCTAGTTTCTTTGAAAGGTATAGGCTAATTGGTTACGCATGTTTTATTTCAACTGGTATTGGATGATTAATGGGAAGAAGTGGCAAGCATCCATGAATCATGACGAAATCTGTAGTTCTGGCCCAGAGGCTGATAGAGATGTCTCTAATCATTACTTTATGAAAAGTAGCAAAAATACCATGTTGTGCTGCAATGCAAAGTAATGTTTGAGCAACTAAGCAACTAAGGGCATGTTTAGATTAGCCGTAACAGTAAGATGTGGTGGATCCAAATATGCTTAGTTGACTAGGCAGACGACAAACTGACAAAGTAACCTGGAAACTAACAGTGTCTGGACGTTTTACTTCGAAAAACGTGGTGGGGTGATAGAGTGATAGACCCAAGAATGTGCGATATATGATCCAAAAAAAAAAGAATGTGCGATATCTGGAAAACCAAAATTCCGCTAAAAATACAGGCTTTCTTGTGGATGTTGTGGCATGACCGGGTCCAAACGGCGAAACAGCTGAAAAAGAAGAAATTGGGATGGATCAATTCTGTGCAAACTGTGTGGGAAAACAGAAACCAGAGATCATATATTCTTTCGGTGTCCTATTGCAGTGTTGATGTGGAGCTGGATTCGGGATAGTCTTGGCTGGAACAAGTCTCCAAACTCCTTGGATTCTTTAGTTGAACAACATTTAAGCACAGCGAGGCTCAACCAGAATAGGTGGCCGATTTACCTGTTAGCTGGAGTGTGTTGGGGTCTCTGGAAGACTAGAAATCACTGAGGTTTTTCAAATGTGCTAGTTTCTAACACAAAACAAGTAGCTTATAAAATTCCTGGTTTTCTTCAGCATTGGAAAATCTTAACCAAGACGGAGGATGGAGCGCAGCTGGAGAAGGCGTTGCAACATCTTTAAGGCCCTGTTTGGTTGAGCTGTGGCTGTGGGAAAAAACTGTTGTGGGCTGTGAGCTGTAGAAAAGCTGAAAGCTGTTTGGTTAAACAAGTATAAAATATACCTTTTATCTTTATCTCTCTTGAAACAACTATGGAAGAGCTTTTTATTCCACCAATTTCGAAAAGCAGAAAGACAAAAGCCAAAAGCAGGGTCAACCCAGCTTTCAAAAATGAACTACGTAAAAGCAGCTACTTCTGAAAAAGCATCCTCCAAAAACAGCCCCTTTGGTTGAGCTTTTGGCTTTTAGGGCAAAAAACCAAAGCCAAAAGCCCAATCGGCCTAAGAAGGCTGAAAGGATGGTGAAGATAACAAGAGTTTTCTTTCTTTCTAGTTTCTTTTGCTGGTCTTAGCTTCCTGTTTCTTTCAGTTTATCTTGACAGTGGAGTGGGTTTCTGGAGGAGAGTGGTATTTTCTTCTGATGTACGGGAGCCCTGGAGCCCAGAACTTTGTATGGCTGTTGGTACCCCAGCCTAACATTTGCTTTCAGTAGAAGCTGGACCAAACGATTTTTTGTCTAGAAAAGCTGGAGAAACTTATTAGTTATGAACTCTTAGTTAGCTAATTATTACTTCTCCGTCCCTAAATAAATTAACTTCTAGAGACGTCTTAAATCAAACTTTTAATGTTTAAGTGAATTTATATTTATAACACCAAACTAGTATAATTAAATACACCATAAAGCATATTTTCATATTGTGCTTGTTTAATGTCATAAATATTGGTGCTTTTTTTTTACATAAGTTCGGTTAAACTTAAAAATGTTATTTAGGAACAGAGGGAGTATTAAGCTTTTGAAAAAATCTAATACGGAGTAGCACAAAGTTAGCACCCCAAGGAGCTCCAACCCTAACCTTAAACCTGGCGGTTGTGTTCATCTTCAGTGAGCTGCCGCGGTGGGGTTGCGCACCGAAGTTAGCGCACATGGTCGCGGGAAACTCTTTTGAATTAATGAATTTGATACATTGTATTACAGTTCTCGTAGGGCCTATTTGGGTACAGCTTATAAGCTGCTTATGGTCAAAATAAGCTGAAATCAACAGCCAAACATCACACTTTTCAGCAGCTTATTCTGGCCACGCTTATTCCACAGCTCTCATCTGTACTGAAAAGCAAAAGCTGGATCAGACCAACTTATTTTGACCGTCGTTTTTACTCTATTTGTGCAGCTTATCTGGGAAGCGCTTCCTAGATAAGCTGTACCAAACAGGGCCATAGACTAGTCGTTGGTATTATTCCTCTCATTATTAAACTGATTACAACACCAATCTGGTGAGAGGAAATCTGTTTCAAATTTACAACGATAATATACCGGACAACATATCAGTACAAAAATGGCGAAACACTTTACATGCCTTCTCCTGTACGGCTGGAGCTCTTACAGACGGACCTCTTTGGCAAGACTTTTATTGGGGCCTCTCCACTGACTTAATCAAAAGTCGTACCAAATAAATACACATAAAAATGGCTTCTAACACTAAAACTAATATATAAGATAAAAAAAAGTGAAGCTGAAGCCGTTTTGAGACTAGAAGTCAAGCCCACTATAATCTTCGTCTTGCTTCTCACTTTTCCGAGAAGTTCAAGCAATCAAGCCCTTTTAAAGGAGGACCCTATGCGAAGCGTGAAAAGATGAACCGGTAAAGAGGAGCCGAAAAGAGCCTGCGAGACTGCTGCAAGCCCTAGGTAAAAATAGACTGTAATTTCGTCAGTGGAAAAGATTATCTGCTCTCAATATTTCCAGCAGCTTATCAGCCTGGCTTATCAGCCATGGTACAATGTTTTTCTCTCACGACAAAACAACATTAACCGGCTTATCAGCCGTAGAAACCATGAAACCATCAGCCGATCACTGAGGAGAAATCTTCAGGTCGATTCCTAGGCTCATGCCATTATAAGCGATGGGTGCGTACATCCACATCTCATCAGAACTCAGCATCTGCTCAGGACAGAATTATCTGATAAGACAGATGGCAAGCACAAAGCACCTGGCTAGAGAATGAAGAAGCGTGTGTTTAACTACCTTGATCTGCTGCTGCGGGAACCTGACGTAGTGAACTGCCTCCTCCAGCATGGTGCTGATGTCGACCTGCAACAATGTGTTTCAGGACAGTTAGCAAATACTACCTGCACTGGCCATCAGTCTTTCAAAAGGAATGCTAGTGTCTTCCGAAAAATGGAACACTAACAGCAGCGATGTACATAGCAGCACAGATGAGAAGATGGCCAATTACTTTGGGTCCATTAGGCACCAGTTTCTGAAGAATCTTGAGGCTCTTACTGATCCTTTCCCTTCTTCTCTGCAACCCAAAGAACAAAACGCTGAATCAATAACTCTGAGTCGACTAGAACGATAAAAGTGCAATGATCAGTCTGCACACTCAGCTCACCCTTGCGTAGAGGCTCTGGGGATCGGTCGCCGACCCTTTGGCTGCCCGGGCCTTAGCATTGCCGCCGCCGCCGTCGCCGTGAGCCCCCGAACGGCGGTTCACGTCGGTGCAATTGGACTCGTCGCCCGAGCAGCTGCCTCTGCTTTGTTGCGAACTCTCCTGACTACACTTCTGCGACGTTTTGGATGCAGCCTTCGTTTCATGTTTCTACGCTCACAGCCACAGGAGCCAAATTTAGCATCGCCGCATCACAACAAAACCAAAGATCGTAGACCAAAACATTGTGCACGTACATTAGCCGAAGCGCGGCCCTTCTTCTTGTGCCGCCCAAGATCTTCTCCGTCCCGGACCTTCCGCTTCGGCTGAGGCGAAGGGTCGGGTGGGATCGGGTCATCGACGCACGCACTCCTCTCCTCCACCCCGTCCCCGAGAAGGTGAGCGTGTTGATCCCGAGCGACACGTCCGGCTCGGCGAGGTCGCAGTAGTAGTAGCAGCCGCTGCTGCTATCGAAGTACGCCCCGGCGCCGCCGCTGGCGCCGGCTGCGCCGGGTCCAGTGACGTGGCACGGCTCTGGCCAGTACGTGGTGCTGGTGGTGGCTAACATGTAGCGGGAAGGTATAGCCTTCTAAAAGTGAGCAAAACATATCCGCGTCGGTGGGAGGCGCGCACCGATAGTACCTGCTTGCTTCTTGCTTACTGGCAACCTTTATAGGATCTCCACCTTCAAGCTTGAGTACAAGCAGCTCTTTCAAAAAGGGGAATTCCGGTCCCTCCACGCCTGGACAGAGGGGGGGTGCCGGCCACCGCCACACCGCACGGAGCCGTTCCCAGACTCGCCGGCGACTGTGGGAGGTGTGCGCCGACAAGCGTCAGCGCCTGGACGCAGGGGGTGCCGGCTGCCGCCACACCGCGCGGAGCCGATCCCGGACTCGCCCGCGACGGTGTGAGGCGCGCACCGGCAGGTGTCCACGCCTGGACGGAGGGTGGGTGCTGGCCGCCGCCACATCACGCGGAGCCGATCCCGGACTCGCCCACGATGGTGGGAGGCGCGCACCGGCAATCGATAGTGCCTAGACGTAGGGGGGTGTCGGCCGCTGCCGCACCAAGCGGATTCATTCCCGGACTCGCCCACGAAATTGCGAGGCGCGCACCGACACCGCCGTCATGCAGCCACTACGGACACCGTCATGGCTGATGTCGTCGATCTGCCCAAACAGCGCTCTGCCCTGTCGCTAATTGGCAGAGAAGGCCCTCAACAGGACAGCACAGAGGGGAAGGCTCTACGGTGACGCAGCCCCGCCGCTGGCAAGCCGACGGCCAAACCGCGCGCACCGCGCCGCCGCTGGGTCCCTGCACACGAATGCGAAGAACACGGGCACGCTGCCCCACCCGTCGGCACGCCCGCGGCCAAACCCCGCGCCTCGAGCCGCTGCAGGGCCACCCAGATGAGTCCCGAGACGATGACGATGACGCTGAAGCTCGTCTGCCGCAGAACCCTGACAGGCCGCCGATTCACTGCAGGAGTCGCGCCACAGCCATACCACCGGAACCCAACGTCCCGACGATGCCCCACGCCAGGCCGAAGCAGGAGGGAGGTAGCCGGCAGCAGAAGCGCCAGATCCGGGCACAAGGCCGCCGGTACGGCCACGGAAGTACCAGATCTAGGCACACCACGCCACACCTCGCTGGCCGCAACGACCGCGCCGGCTGCTCCCTGGCCGAGAACGAGCGGGGCAGCCCGGATCCGACCACGGGTGGATCGGATCCAATCGGGGTGGAGCCGGAAAAGCCGCCAGGTGCCGGAGCGCTGCTGTCCGGGCCCCCGAGTCGCGCCCAGCCGCTGCGCACAGCGTCCGGAACCCAAGCCCCTGCGCGCACCTCCGTGCCTCACTCGAGAGCTCGCCGCCAGGCCGTCGAGCATCTGAGCGCCGCTAGCCGCGTTGATTTGGCGAGGAAAGCCCCACCGCCGCCCTCCTCATGGTTGCCAGTCATCCAGTTGCGGCCACTCCAGCGACGACGAGGTTGGAAGCCGCCGGCGGCGGTCCGGTAACCGGGTGGGTGGGGGGCCGCCCGAGTCGCCCTGCCTGGAGAGCGACGCGGGCGTTTGAACTCTCAGTCGGTACGCGAAAATGTCGTCTACCGAACTTTTCGCTCACGTCTATAACAATCAAACATGTACAGTGCATGTACAGTGCCCTGTTCAGCTGGCTGAAAAAAACAGTTATGCTGATGCTAATTTATTGAGAAAAAAAATTATTATTATTTTGTTGAAACGGTACCGCTGATAAGTTCAAACGAACAAGGTCAATATTTCGAGCCATGATAGATATGACATATATTTTAAGCCCTTTTGGTGAACCTCCATAGTGGATTAACACCTTGATGACCAAGAGAATCAGGTGGAAAGTGGTAAGCCTAAGGGCCTGTTTAGATGGTGAAAATTTTTGCAAAATGCACTGTAGCATTTTTCGTTGTTATTTGGCAATTAGTGTCCAATCATAGTCTAATTAGACTTAAAAGATTCGTCTCGTGAATTTCGTCTAAACTGTGTAATTAGTTTTATTTTTTATTTATATTTAATGCTTCATGCATGCATCCAAAGATTCAATGTGACGGGAAATCTGGAAAATTTGGTAAAATTTTCTGGAACTAAACTAAACCTAAGTGGCTTGCAACACTTGTCTTGTTTCATAGAACATCCTGTTTGGCAGCATGTATCCGGCTTATAAGCCTTGGATTATCAGCCAGCCAATAATATTTTTCTCTCACACCAAACCAGCCAGCAGTACTTTCAGCCGAAACGAACAGCTGGAAGTCTTTGTGGTGAGCCAATATTGTGACTAGAGGAAGTCTTGGAGTAAAAAAAAAGAAAACTTGAAACTTGAATCCTATGAAACAGGATATTGATATGAATCGTGAACAACATTGCACATGAAACAATTGAAAACTCAAACAATATGTGCAAATCATATTGTAACAGAACCGACCAAATCATAAGAACGTAAGTACAAAAACAATCACCGAAGCGATCAATTTCCTGTACTTAAGCTCCCATAATCCCGGTAGTCCGGAAATCACGAAGGATTTTAACCAACTCTCGACATACAAACCAAGATCGTAGTGATTCAACACAACACATCATCTGTTACAACATTTCATAAGTAGCATTCGGATTACATCCATCAGAGTTTAAATAGAATATTACAAACCAAGTTTGAGTGTGCGGAAGCAACATAGTTTGGTTCAAAACATCATAGTTTTCAATTACATTGCCAAGGTTGAGTCATGTCCCACAAAAGCATTATCAGGTACGAGAACTAGTAGGGACCGTGCCCAACGGTCTAGTCTTCATCCCCATTTGGGAGAAAGCGATGACTTGCAAACAACCAAAGTAGGCGGTCATCTGCAGCGGTGTGGAGATAAACCCGAGTACGAGAAGGTACTCACTAGACTTACCCGACAAGAACAGAAATAAAACAACACCAAGGATCATGCAAGGCTTTTTCGGTGGGCTAGCTTGACACAGTTGCATAAAAGAGCTTATGAATAGAGTAACCAATTTAAACTTAGCATCAAGCTTATCATTATTTACCATCCACTAGATTAGCTTTTTGTACTAGAGCACTCATTTATTAGAGCAAACAATATTAACCATAGCAGGTATAATAAGGTTGTCATCATCATATCATCATTTCCGAACCATTAAGTTATTAAGTGTATCTACATTGAGATAAGCCCGTCAAGTTCTCACTAACCGGAGAGACGGCGATTGAATCGAATTACAACTCGGTGAGGGGTATTCCTAACTCTCACCCCTGGCATACTTAGCAAGGGTAGCCGTGGGTCACCTTTGGAACAACTCAGAACCAAATTGCGGGTTCGATCGGCGCCAAGACTCTCGGGGATTACCCTTCCGCCAGACGATCGGGACTTTTAAATCACCTTCCTTGGACTCACGCCTCGGCTCCCTCCGAGGCGCACTTTATACTTATCGACTCCCGGCCGAGGTGAGCTATCGGCCCGTGGTCGGTCTCTAGACCCGAGCCAACTAAGAGAGAGGCATGCGTTCAACATGAACAGAAAGGCTCCAAGAATCAGTCCTTAAGCGACACAGACGGAGCCACTACAAACCGACAAGCCTCCGTCCGGTCTTCATTTCAAATTAAGACTGATTCTTTTCTACGATAGCAAATATAGCCAACCGTGCCACATGTATCTTCCTATATCTCGGTGGTGTGAAATCACCCGACTTCTACCGTTTAAGCGGGGCTAAGCACCACTCGAGCACGAGCTACATAGGATTCATGGTAACAATATCGGACAAGGAATGGGTAACCAATGCAGCAAGTGTTTGCATCCAACACCTAAACTTAATGCAACAAGATATATGTAATAATAATACTGTAACTGCATTTCAGAAATTAGGAGGCCTAATATGCTCAGGGGCTTGTCTTTCACAAAGTTGCAAGGACAGTGGTCCGGGCACTCAACGGCGACCTCGTCTGGCACTTCTTTCGAAGGTGCCCCCTCACGAATCTCCAATACGATCATTCCGCCGCTTTCGCTCGGTTCCTCAATTCCAGTGAGGTTACTTCTTCCGGTACACCTATTGCATACCGATGCAAAAGATAAATATCATGTATGCATAAGGAATGACATGATGTTCATGATGAATGAATCACAGTAAGTGTTTACCGAAAACATCACTGGACACTCGTTTACCGAGTAATTAGCTCTATTCAAATCACTTTAAGCATGTATCCAACTTAACTTAAAGAACAAGAGCAACTTACCTAACTTGCATAACCTAAGATAAAGATGCTCATCTTCAGTTAAAGACCTAACACCTAGGAACAGTACCACAAACTTAGAAATAGTAAAGACATACTTAAAATAACAGTTAAAGCTTCATATGCAAACAAGTAGTTACTTAATTCAATCATAACCAGAGTTCTATAAATCCAAATGACTTGTATGAGGACATTCTGGAAAGCTTATGAAATGTTCTACAAATCAATGGTAAACAGCAAATCATGATTCTGATGTTAACCAAATCAATTTCCAGTAAACCTAGAATCTGTCCAGAATGACAGGGTTGCTAACTTAATTATTTAATGATTGTGCAAAAACATACTTTGATCAAACCAAGTTTACCCACTTGTTTTTCATACCTAAGAAACATCAGAAAGTATAGTGCCAACTTCTAAATAAATTATTTAATATCCTTTTCCAATTTATTTAGTTAATTAGGTGATTTAAGCAATATATAGTAAAATTATTCACAAAAATCTACAAAAATTACAGTAGCTATATCATGCTGCACATAGACTACCATAAAAATTTCAAAGTCATTGGGCAAACATAACTTGTTGTATCCAAAATAACAGGTGACATATCTAATTTGAGCATAATTAGGAAACCTTCTTAAAAAGTGTCGAGAAACAGATTTTCCATTTTTCCTAGCATCATTCTAGCATAAGAATAGCACTCATCAAATTTCACCTTTACTGGATCTATAGAAAAATTATGAAAATTCTCACAAGATCCACCCATTAATAAAAGGAAATTCTATAACTTAAAAACTACACATGCACTAGCTCTGAAATTTTAACCAGAGCTTCTAATAAGCAATAATAGATTGCCCACAAAATTTCATAATTTTTGGACCACAAAAACTCAAGATAAAATTCAAACAAGTTTGCATGTATCCAAAAACACATTTCAAAGTCCTATTTAATAAATCTAGAACTTCTAAAACATGTGCTCATATAATATTTTTATGAAATACTAGACATTACTAGGAACTCAACAAAATTAGAACCACATCATTTGGATCTACCATCTAAGAGCTACATATTTTTCAATATGTACATAAATCTGTGAAATAATAAAACAAAACAAAATAGGAAAATCCTACACAGCTACTGGGCCAGCCCGAAGAATCACGGCGTTCATGAGCACACAAAGCGCTGCCCAAGACCCAAGGCAGTGCAAGTTGAGACACTCGGCGCGGCCCAGTGGCTCCGCCTCCGCGTCGGAGATCGACGAGCGGCCCGCTTGTGAGCGAGACAGACAGGGGAGCGGAGGACGACGACGGCGCAACTCGCCGTCGGTAGCTTCTCCGGCGAAACCATCTACGCTACGACGTTCGCCTTGACCATGCGCATCTAGTGGTGACCTCAATCGGTGCTAGTGTAGCGGCTAGAGGCGTTGGCGACTGACACGGCGGCACAAGACACCACGGCACGCACGGCTCGCTCCGTGAATCGGCGGCGACCACGCTTCTAACGGTGACTCTACGAGCTTCGGTGGTGTTCCTATGACCTAGCACGAGGCAGAGGAGGGGATGGGAACGGCGCGAGGATAGCTGGCCGTGTGGAGCGCCAACTCCGGCGAGCTCTCGCCATGGCTGCGGTGGGGAGAACGGCGAATACGCCCTTACCAAGGCACGATCTACCCGATTGAGAGGTGGAGGAGGTGGAGGGGATCACGGCGTAGCTCTGGGTGAACTGGGCAACGCACTTTCACGGTGGCGAGCGCGCACGACGGCGATGATGCGCGGTCGGCAATGGCGGACGGCTGAGCTCTCGACGCTTGCGTCGCGGTGGGGAGGAAATGCGAAATGGGGGCGGCGAGTCGCCGGACGAATGCTGGGTGGCTTCAAGACACGGCTGCGACGCCAGGAGGCGCACGACGCGTGGCCAGCGCGACAGCAGGTCGGTGACGAGTGTCACCCACGCGTCGGCTGAATTCTGAAACTTGATCACTGTAGCTTCGATTCAGTGTTCAATTCCGAGCCTGACAACGATACTTTGACAATGATTATTTCCTAATCGACTTAGCCAAAGTCTAATCGAGTTGAACTACACGATAGAGTTAAGTGAGTACTCCAATTGACTCAACATAAGCTCGAGCTAATTCACCACGGATTTCCATCTACAAGGTTCCAAAGTCGTCTTCATGAAACTGGAAAGCAGTTCCAACACTTAGAAAAATTTTCAAATGTTGAATCCACCATCAATGCTGACTTGTGGGACCTTTTTGGGCATG